GGGAGACGTGCCCGCGAGGCGCGGCGCTGCTTGCGAGGCATCGCTAGGGGGGAGCGTGGCGCCCGGCGAGGGCGCCCGCTCGACGCCACGCACGACGACGCGCGAGCAGCGTGTCGGTGGGCGAATCGTGAGTCGGTGCGAAAGGCGGAAAGATGGCGATGGCGGCGGCCACGTTGGCGCCGGCCCGAGCCATGTCGAAGCGAGCAGCTTGGCTGCCGCCGCCGCAGCCGCGAGGCTGCGCTCACGTGTCCGAGGCCCGGCGGAGGGGCGTCGAGCCGCCGTGCCGAGGGCGCGAAGGCAGCGCCTGCGCGTTGGCTGGCGCTGCCTAACAGACGGTACGAGTCGAGGCGACGGCGGAGGCCGTGCCGAGAGCGCCGAGCGGGGCTACGTGCCCGCGAGGCTCGGCGCTGCCTGCGAGGCAGCGCTAGGGGGGGAGCGTGGCGGCCGGCGAGGGCGCCCGCTCGACGCCACACACGACGACGCGCGAGCGGCGTGTCGGTGGGCGAGTCGTGAGACGGCAGGTGAAAGACGGAACGATGGCGATGGCGGCGGCCACGAAGGCGCCGCCCCGAGCCATGTCGAGGCGAGCAGCCTGGCTTGCCTCGGCCGCGCGGGCTCCTGCCCGTGGCGGGGTAGGAGGGGGGGGAGTGGGTCCCGTGTCGACGGGCCGCTCCTTCGCCTCGGATCGTGCCAGCCGTGAGACAGTCGTGGGTATGGACGGAGGGCCAGGCGAGGCGCGCCTCCGAGAGCGGCGCCGTCGAGGCCGTGGAGGAGGCCGTCTTGGCCGGCCGTGGCGGCTCCCGCCGGAGGCGGGAGGGCGGTTCCTGCCGTAGGCGGGGGGAAGGGGGGTGGGTCCCGTGCCGACGGGCCGCTTCCCAACCTCGGATCGTGTCAGCCGTGTGACAGTCGTGCGTATGTCAGCCGTGTGACAGAGGGATTCGCCCTCGGCCCCCCTCGGAGGGGCCCCCCTCGAGGGCCGCGTGCGCCGCTCGGTTGGTGGCGCCGCTGTTCCCCCGCCCGAGGGGGGGGGGGGGGGGCGAGGGATCGCCCTCGGCGAGGGATCCGC